TTAAACATTAACTGAAGAGATATTTTTGGCTTTTTGGGGATCGAAATGGCGGAAGAAAAGCTCGAAAGGCACGTTCTTTGTATAAAAAGTTATTTACATAAATAACAATTTGAACTTATAATAACATTTTTTTATTTTTTATTTCATTATTTTTTAACACACTTTTGGTTAGGAATAAATTTCGAAAATACTTATTTATTTATTTCGATTTAAGTTGGAATAAATTTCGAAAAGTACTTATTTGTTTATTCATGCGGGATAATACATTTGTACAGAAACAGCTAATAATAACGTCCTAATGTATAAGTAAAAAGTAATGCTTTAGTAATCACACGCGACCACGAACAAATGTTGGAAAATGATCACGGATCAGTACCTGGTAATAGATAATGCTGGTCAGTGCTGGTATGCTGGCCGTTTTGATGCAGGCCAGTAATCGACAGCCGTCATCGCGTCATAGTCGCAAGCGAAACTGGGTCAGCATTGGGCCGCTAGCGGGAGGCTGTCTGGGAATTGTTACATGTAAATTTTCACGGGAGTAAGAAAATTGCGGGAGTAAGAATATTGCCAAATCCGTTTTTATCTTTTGATAAAAAACAAAATTTGCTTTTGGCTTCATTCATGTTGTCTAATTTAAATCTTGGATAACTGTGATAAGACAAAGTTAAGTTACAGGATTTATTAACATCGTAAAGTTATAACAGCTCATCATGGTTAATTATGTAACCAGATTAAGAAATATGTAACTGATTACAAAACGAGATATCTTTATATACAAAAATAATCATTCAGAACTATACAAAAACGTTTCATACCGCGACATATTCATTACATTTTTTGTGACAGTATTTTACTTTAAAACGGCTGCAACAACGACAATTTACAAAGTCATAACTTTTACGTTCTAGTTGCAGTTGTTGTTTTGATTTCGTAAATTAACTTGTCTCGCGCTAACATAACCGTTGTTAACCTTTAGTTAGAAGTCGCTAACTTTAATTTAATAAAATTAATAAATATTTAAAATTGCAATTTATTATAAAAATTAAAGTAAAAAATTTTATTTTTTTTAATTCTTATACAAAAGTGAAATAAAAAGTAAATTTTAAGCTCATGAGAATAGGTTTTAAGCATAGCGTTCTCTACTACAGGCCTATTCATCGCACAACCGGATTTTTTTGTGGAGGCCTACTTTTTTACGGCGAAAAAATTATTTTTCCACGTTCAGACCAGATACAATGTCATGTCGTTTATGACAAATATTTAAATAATGGAATATAATACAATGTTATTAAACTTATATAATTTAAACATGGATTTGCAGATATGATTTAAAGCAAATAATATATTTATAAAATTTAGATTAAATCATCATGCCAAATAAATGTTGTGTGTATGCTTGTCACACCAACTATCAAAGTGAAAAAAACAAAATATCTGGTGAAGTTAATAAAATATCAGTGTATCGGTTTCCAAGTGATAACGTTGAGCGTGAAAAATGGATAAAAGCTAATCCAAACTCTAATTTGGTTGTTACCAAGTATACTGTTATCTGTGAGTTACACTGGCCTCCACATTTTGATACAGTTATAGTGCGTGGAGGAAAACGTCGACCAAAAAATCCTCCTTCTGTTTGGCTAGGAATACCTTTATCTCAAATTCCAACTGGTTATCCAACTGAAAGATCTACCAAAAGATCTTTAAGTGACATTAGAAGTACAATAGATGATGAGCTAGATACATTTCTTTAAAGGGATAAAGCTACTTTTTGTGACATTAAAAACAAGTTTATTGATAGCAGTGATCACCAATATCCAGTTATATCGTTTATGGTTGATGGCTATGTTGTTATACAATCTTTGCAATTTTTTAATGGAATACCTTTTTTTGTACTTAAAATTTATGAAAATCTTACCTTTTAAACATTTCATTATGGGATTAAGTGTCACATTTCTAGCTTAACAGTAAATCGAATCTTAACTGTTGACTCCTGGTCTAAGTTTGATGAGATACTTCGTTTTTTAAGCTCTTTGAAAATTGATAATAAAAAAGAAGTAATTATGCAACATGTTTCAGTTATGGGACCAAAATTAGTTGGAGATAAACTTTATACACCTGAAATACTTATACGCTCTTTTGTATGTTTCTTAACATCCAAGGGCATTAAATAATTGCTTAAGAAATGATTATCAACTTCCATCATCAAATGTAAAAGCTATTATATGTGATGGGAATCGTGTCAATCAGGCTTTTGTTAAAATGTACACATTCATTTCGGGAAAACCATGGGTAACATTAGTTGGAAAGTATTTACTTTATGATTTTGTACACCTCATAAAAAATATTCGTAATCTTTGGTTAACTGAAAAAACTCAGGAATTAATATTTGACGATAACGGAGCAACCAGGATTGCAAAATGGACTCATTTAAAGCAGCTTTACAATGCAGAATCCAGAAGCTTTCTAAAGTTATCTGACCTGAATGAAACTTCTATTTCTCCTAAACCTGTTGAACGACAGTGTGTATTAAAAGTTTTAAGAGTATTTTCAGAAAAAACTTATGCTGCTCTTTTGCAACATCCTGACATGATACATATTGATGTTAATGACACTGCTATATTTATTAATAAAGTTATTATTTGGTGGAAAATTTTAAATGTCAAAGAAAATTTTAAATGAAAATTTTAAATTGGTGCTGATACAAGGCATAATGATCCTTTGCAAGCTATTATCAACAATCCTGATGACAACCATTTAAATTTAATACTACAATTTGGTGATATGGCACTTAAAATGGCAGGTCCCAAAGGTAAGCGTATTAAACAGCTTTCTAAAGATACTGCAACTTGTATACATCAAACTTGTTATGAAATAGTAGATTTATGTAGATATTTACTTAACACTACGCAAAACTATGTACTTCTTGGTCAATTTACTTCAGATCACCTGGAAAAAGAATATAGTATACTTCGTCAAGGTTCTGGTGGTACATATTTTCTTAGTGTTCAACAAGTTATTGAAAAATTACGTATCAAATATGCATCTTTACTTTTGAAGTTAAATGTAGATATTGACAATTTTAATGTGAAGTCTGGTCATCAATGTGCATTATGTGATTACAAATTGTCTGAAGACTGCTGCGAAATTCTTGATAACTTGCAAGATCTAGAATCTTCTATTGCTGATGATGTTAAAATGTCACTTATTCACATTGCTGGTTATGTTACACCAAATGATAAAGAACAAACTGATTATGAACTTTTAGATCAAACAATGTTCTATTTTCAGAAATATGGTCAGTTTTCTAAATTTTTGGATCGTGGTGGATTAAAATTCCAACTGATAATTCATGCCAATGGACATTTTTTTGTTTTGTAGTTTTTCAAATAGTTAAAGATCATGTATGCCGAAAATCTTTAAGTAGTATTTTTATGATTATATCAGACTATTATTTATTGGATATGGAAGAACATCATTGTGTAATATTGAGCAACATTTTTTTTTTAAATTTATGTACCACTGTCACTCCAAGATCTGGCAAAGAACCTGCACTAAAATTATTAAAAATCTCTTAAAAGTCTACTTAGTTGTCTACTGTTTATAATATATTCAGTATACTTTTTTATAAAAGGTTTATAAAAGTTTCATATATTAGTTGGTTTTTTTTTCAGGTTTTTTTTAACAATTTTAATCAAAATTTATCTAATATTTTTTGTTTGGTTGAATAATATTTCTACTCAATATAAGAAAATATCAATTTTGTATTTAGCTGTTAAAGCCAAAACTAAAGGTGAAATAATATAATTATGTAAATGTGTGAAATTTGAAATAAGAAAAAAATTTCTTTGCCTTTTATTTACATTGTTAATTACTTAATATTAATTTTCTTTTTTCATCAAAAAAAATTATTAGGCTATACAGATAATTAAAATTACTTTTTAGTTTTAAAATTACGAAGTTATTATCTTTTTTGCCGTAAAAAAGTAGGCCTCCACAAAAAAATCCGGTTGCGCGATGAATAGGCCTGTAGTAGAGAACGCTATGGTTTTAAGATTTTAAAAAATGAGTTTAAAAGTTTTAAAATTTCAAAACGAAAGTCAGACTGAATAATTATTTGGCAAAAAAAAAAAAAAAAGCAAGTATTATTATTTTTTGTGTATTTTTTCAGACTTAAAAATAAGATAGAGTTCTTTAGGTAATGAAATTTGATATTGAATACCATTTTCTTTTATTTCAAACAACATTTCATATTCTGTAGTTAAAATTAGTAAAATCAGAGGTGGTACAAAAAGTATTGGCAACCCAAGTTAAGGTTAGAATTAAGACTTTATGAAATATTCATGAACAAAATAAGTTGCTTTAATTATAGCTCTTTTCTGAAGTTTTTTTAATCAATTTTAACTATGAGAAAATACTACTTTGACCGGTAATTCATTACTTGTGGTTGCTGCTCAATTAAGGAGATAATTTTGTCTGCAAGAACTTTTAGTCAATTTGACTTAGCTTGGTTATGACAACGTTTCTGAATATGATTTGAATATATATATATATATATATATATATATATATATATATATATATATATATATATATATATATATATATATATATATATATATATATATATATATATATATATATATATAGATTTCTTCAGAAAACTAAGTATAAAAGGAATTTTTTTTTAGAAATTGACTATTGTGCCCTCCTCTCCACTTTGAAACCCGTGTTGTTGGCCATGTAACTTACCAATAAATTTACTGGTAAGTTCAACGGTAAATTTTGAAAAATTATCGGCTGGTAAATACTGAGCTTTTTTAATGTAGAATGATCAACATGGTATTATAATTAAATAGTTTTGTAGAACTTTTTTTTAATATAAAAAAATTCACTTTTTTATAAAAAGTTAAAAGAAGCAGTAAACACTGATATAACCAAAACATAAAAATAATGAAATGAATATTAAAATAACAATAAAAACTGTCAAAAATTTTTTTTTTTACCCAAAACAAATTCTGGCAATGAATAAAGAAGCAGCGATCAAACCAGCATCTCTACCTATGCAAAAATTAGAACAGGTTAACAGAATATTATAAAATAGTAACTAAAAATTAGTAAATAGTTTTTTTAAAGGCCTATCATTTTTCCAAAAAAGCTTCAGGATTTTCATTGCAACTCAAACTATCTACAAAAAACTGATAACAATGTTTCAATAACAACCAATAATATGAAATGTTATAACTAACAAATTTTTTCGTTTTCAAATTCAAAAAATTGATTTAAAAAGTTATTAGTTTAAAAAATGCCACTATAACATCATTTATTGCCAAGGGTTTATAAAACCTAACTTTTACCTTTTACTTTTTCATGTAAGCAATATAAATTGTAGATTGCAGTCACTCTATTTATGGCAACTGAACCATCTAGTAACAAGTTGTGTTGTTTTTTTGATGTTGTGGCCTGTGTGGTGTGCCGGCTTTACTCTCAAAAATTCTCCCCGTAAAAAATTTTTAATTCCCTGGTTAATCTATTAGATAACAAATCAATCACTGGATTTAAAGTGCTTTAAATTACGACAAAATGGATTACCCAGCTACTCAAATGTAAAACTCACATCAAATAAATATTATCATAATAAATAAACTTTATTTTATGCTCTTTAGCTATAACAATTTAAAAAAAAAAATTGAACATAAAATGTGACATTAAATGTAACATAAATATGTTTTTGTTCTCTTTTTATATTACACTGTAATTATACTCTTTTATTAATGTAATTTATTTAGTTTTTTTTTAGTTTTTTTGATTGTTTTTTAATTCTGTTTAATTGATTCAATTATTCAGAATCAATTGCAGAGAGAATGCCAATTCTATTCTATTATAGTTTGTAAAAGTATTTATTTTTTTACAGTATTACATTTTTATTTAGTTTTATCATATGATTGCTATATGTATGAAACAATAACTAATAGGGGTCATCCATAAAAGTACCTACGCTTATATTTCGACCTCCAATTCCTTCCTCTCCTACCCCCTCCTTTCCTCCACATCTCCCTAAAAGTGTCTACGCTTTTAACCTACCTACTCAACATTTTATGTTATTTTTTTTTAATTTAGTGACTCCTTACTTTTATATTTGACCCACTGCCTCCCATCTCATAAACGCCATTTGCAGACCTTCTCTTCACCAACGAGCGTACGTACAACAAGCGTATGGACAATCCCTAACGCAGCCAACATTTGGACAAAAAAAGATGTCTTTTACCGTCATTTGAACGTTAAAAACTTTTAAACGACAAATTTTTCTGACCAAATACTGACTTAAAAGCATTGTGTGACAATTTTTATTTGTGTTGTAAAACAAACATTTATAGTTAATATCACCCATTTAGCTTTAATATCATCCAATTGTTGAATAAAAAAACACCAAAAAAAAAAAATCTACTAACTTTTTCTGAATCTCAAAGAATATCGAATATGTATATAGAGAAAAAAATCAATAATAATAACTAAGTGAACCATGTTAAAATATACCTTCAGTTTAGTTGTTCAAACATCCCGGGTTCTAATAACGTCTTCTTTTATACTTTTGTGACACTTGATGCATTTTTGCTATTGTATTGTTTCATATCACTTATTGGGTCTATATTATACTATTTTGTACCTATTTTAATCACAAAAACAAACAGTTTTGTAAAGTAATCTTAAAATTTTGATGTTGAATTATCCATTCTGTAATCCGCATAGTTTTTGATTCCTAAGTAATTTATTTTCTTCAGGACGAGTTAATCAATTTTATAATGATTATTTTTACCTTGGCTTGCCGTTATATAGTTATATAGCAAAAACAAACAACAACAACAACAAAAAACAATTACTTTTCAGCTTAAATAAGATTAAATATATCTTGTGATCAGAATCTTAAAGAAGCCGTTTTGAAAATGCTTTTTTGTTAATACATAGCTAAATTTCTTAACATGCCTGAATCAAATCTAATCACAGAAACTAAAATACTTTACAGTAAACAAAAATACTCTTGCAGGTGAATATTTGAGACAAAAAAATGTGCATCTTTAAAGCCTCTCATTCGTGAACTAACTTTAAACATTTAGAACTAACTTTAAACATTTAGAGCTTTAAATATTAGTAAACTTAATAACCATCAAATAATGCTATTTATGTCTAAAGTAAAGTGTAGGTTATCTCCAGTAACATTTCAATATTACTTTATTGAAGTTTCTCATAAATGTCCTACCAATTGTTTTAGAATAGCTTTTTTGTTCATAAAACCCATGTTATGTTAAGTTTAGCTCAAAATCAATGCCGTGGTCTATTTGTTTGTAAAAACTTTCTTCATATTATTATTAAAAACTATCTTTCCTCTAGATAATAAAGTAACTTTATTTTTCTCCAACCAATAGAGATACCATATAGAATAAAGGATAGCTTAGAACAGTAAACATTACGGCTGAACATAACATTATGACTTAGACATAAACATAGTATATGTCGAAGCCATAATATTACTACATTGGTATTTGCTACTGTTTACTAAATGTGCAAAGAGTAAATATTATTTAAGAAATTTGTTTTATGTTACAGATTTCCAAAGATTTATCGTTACAAAATAATTAGATTGCTGCAATACGTAAAAATACTTTAATCCAACAAAGAGTTTAAAATTTGTTGATAGTAATTTACACCAGATTGATATATCGTTAGCGGTTGAAGTTCAAAAATGAACTTAAAAAAGACCGTCCTTATACAATAAAGCTATAGCATTATTGATTTTCCAAGTAGTTTACAGAATAAATTATACCTAGACCACTAAAAGTGAAAACAAAACTAAAACAATAAATGATGCTACTTCTATTGAAATTAGCCTTTAAATAGCGTTTTTAGCCGAACCTGGAACATCCTTTAAGAATTAAAAAAAACAACAACAACTTGGAACCTACTTTAAAAAAAGAAAATCTTGTGTGAATGATTTTAAAAATATTTTTTACACCAAAGAGTATCTAAATTACAATTTTTACTTAAACATTCAAAGGAATTATGATGAAGAATCCCACTTTAAACATTATGTAAGTAATATTTAATAAAAATTTAAACTAAAAAAACTTATTTGAATTTTCTATTCAAGTTTGTTAATTAGGTTTAGTTGAAATTGTGTTAAATATTTCAAAATTATTAAAGCTTTATGCTTTGCCTATTTCTACAAAAAACCTTTTCAAGCAATTACAAAAATACAAATGCAATAAAGAGTTAAAAAAACTTAGCTCTTACTCTCAATTTCTCATAGAGTTTATGCCAGGAAAACTTTTACTTATTTGGTTCTTCATTCAAAAATACTACAAAATTGGTATGAAAAAGTCACGTGGGAACTTGAATTTCAATGAGAATTAATTAAGGTTTTTAAACTTAATGAGCAAAACTAAAAAAAAAGAAAAAATCACGTATCTGCTCATTAATTAATAAAAAAATGACATTTTAAAAGTAATTGAATGGGGCGGTGAAATGTTTTCAAGGTAGGTTGTGCGTTTACACAAAGGTAGAAAGTTTGTGTTTGATTACTCAAAAATAATTTAACAATAATTTTTGGTTTGTGGACGTTGGTTCTTAATATTAAAGGGATTGCGCAGTTGAAGCAAAAGAATAAATTTTTTTTTGATTAATAGCTTAAATGATCTGTTAAAGCTACTATAGGCTACTTTCTAATAAATGTAATCTTAGGAGTTCAAAAGATTAACTAGATGAAATATCTCAAACAAGCTGTGATTGGACTATTGTGCTGCTGGCATGCCAATGCTGCTCCCCGGTGTAACTTTAGGCGACTAGCCGCTGTTGAAAAAATGAATTAAAGGTTTCCTAAGCTACTTTTTTTTAACTTGCCGGCTAAAGAGCAAAAAATGGCATGTCAGCATCGGTAAGAACATCGTGGTATGCTGTAGTTTTACCAACATAAAGCAGAACTTGCATACGCCGCATTAAATAATACAATATGTTCGTAATAATAGTAATATTGTAGTAATATAAATCAATAATAATCTTAGCCCATTAAAAAAAAAAAAAACATTCATTATTCAGTTATACCATTTTTACCTTTATATTGTAAGTTTTCTAACTGGACTTTTGTCTTTTTTATAATTACTCGCTTCATACTTACTTTAACTTAATTTTTTTTTTGTATTTGCCTTTTGTATTAATATCTTCTAAATTTTGACTAGACTTTTATTCTAGTTGCAAACATTAATAAACAGATGCCTAAAATATCTGTCAAGGAGAAAGATCCTTTTTAAAGATGCATTAAAATACGAGACTATTGCATTATTAAAAATATTGGTTCTACTGTTGAAAAGATATTTAGAGATGCTGAACAAGATGATTATTCTTAACATGTTTTCCTGATTTTCACTTAGCTTTTTATTAAAATTTTGAAAAAAATGGTATTAAGATAAAAAGTTTCTATTTACCTTAATACTCTTGAGTGGTTGAGTGGTAATAAAAGGGTGAGTTGGAATTTTAGTTTAGATCTAATAAACAGGAAGGGAGGGGGGAGGGAAGGGGGTTCAATAAAAGGAAGTGAGTTGGAATTTTTTATGTTACAATATAAGTATTTTTTTATAAAAAATTTCAGTTTATAAATCCAAACTAATATTTTTTACAATGCATACATAAAACTATTTAATTAAAGCGTGGTTTGCGGTGAACTGCCCATTTTCGAACAGCTGTTTCGTCATAACTTAAATTGGATTTAATATGCTATACTTTGGTGAAAAATAAAACTAAAGCTAATTTTTGAGAAATCAAGATTTACTAGGTTGGCAATTTTTAAAGCTTGTTTACTCTGAAAATTTTTGTTTTTTTCATTGACGAAAAGAACTATTTTTTCGTTTTTAAGGCCGGTTTTCAATAAAAATTTTTTTAGTTTTGAGGTATAAAGTTTTTGTTGATAACAAGTAAAAGTAATTAAACAGAGGGAGGGGTGTAGGAGGAGGGGTCTTAAAATCATTTTCCAAAAATCAATAAACGTCCCAATCCTTTATCAAGGACTCGACAATACGATGTTTTAACACAATTTCTTCGTGTTAAAAAATCCCGTTAAAAAAACAAAAACAAAAAAAACAAAAAACCCAGAAAAACTTCAAAAATGAACTGTATATAATTTTTAAAAATAAATGGAGGCACTTTGAAATCAAATACTAAAACAATAATAACATCAATTTTTGAAAGATACCACACGATCTAAACAGTTTGTCGATTTTATCAATCAGTCAGTCATTATCAATCAATGAGGATATTTCTGAAAGACAAGGAGAGGTCAAAGTATGTTTTAGTGAATGTTTGTACTCTTTGAAATAATTATAATAATGCAGAGGTTTTGACAGGTGTTTCTAGTATTTGCTCTCGAATTTAGGAAGTTTTTTTTAAAGAGTTTTTATAGTTTTAATTTTAGTCACTGCATATTTTATGATTTTATTTTGTAGTAACTATTTATATTCAATAGTCTTATATTAAATGACTTTACTTTTTTTATAGATAAATTCAAACATTATCTAATAATTTTTTTTTTATATGTCATTGATTTATTAAATTGCCTACTGCAAAAACGTTATTTTAATTTAGTAAATTTATATGACTTGAAATTTACTTTATTAATCATTACAGTGCAGTTAGAATGAATTCTACATAATTGAGATAAAAATAATTTTGCTTAGAAGTATCATTACAAAACCAACTTTATTGCCTTTTATTAATACAACCCTCAATGTTATTATTTTCATATATTAAGCTCATAGTTATTTTAGGTATTATTATAACAAACTTTTAGCTTTTACTGATTTAATATGTGAATAAAGTCTTTATGCCGTAAACTAAAACCAAGGAGAGCTAAATAGATTACAAAAAATAAGTTTTTATATATTATATCTTTTAGATAATATATCGAGTAAATACTACAAAATAAAATCTTATATTCTAATTAGATTATAAAATAACTTATATAAATACGAGTTAAAACTATTAGATTTTTAGTAACTTTGAATAATTTTATATGCAAAATTGTTTAGTTAGGAATGTTAATTCGAAAAATGTTTTAAAGTTCCGAACAAAAATTAGTAGTTGGCTTTTTTAACTAAATTTTTTTTTTCAAGGGGTGTAGGAGGCATTTTTCTATTTATTTACTACTGTTCAATTTATAAACAAATATATTCCTGTTGTATCATACAAAATGTTCAGTAAAATCGCTAACGGATTTATTCAAAAACATAGTCATAAATTTATTTCTTTGTCACCTCACTTATTTAGTTCCTTATTATCCAACTACTTATTACGAATACGTGATAAGCGGCCGTAGTAAACTGGTGAGAGCGCTTACATTATAATCAAGAAACCCGAGGTTCGATACAAGCTCTGGTCATACTTGCATTATAGATAATAATAAAGACATAAAATTCCTATTTAAATACTCTACCATAGTGCTCTGTGACAAGAACGTAAACCTTTTTTATAGGACCTCAACAATAATCTTAAAAAATATTTTTCTAAATATCTTAAAAATATACTAAAAAAGATAGAAACTTTATTATTTGATATGCACTATTGTTATATGCGAAACAAAACAAGTTAAAAACCTTGCTTTTTCGACTGTTTTGCTCAGACTGTTTTGCATCAGAAGAAAAATTTACATTTTTTTAAAATTCTGTTACGAATTTGTTATGGAAACTTAAAATTATTTTTTTAAATAAAATGAAAAGTACCAGGAGCGGATCTAGGGTGTCCTATTGCACCGCTAAATTTAAGGGCATCTCTTTTTTACTTTTTTTCATAATGAAAAATTAAAGTAGAAATTAAAATCTGATATTCTCAAAAAATGTAGAATTTGTTTTAAACTAAAAAAAATTGTTACATCTAAACTCGATTTTATTTGATCTCTATAAATACTTATTCATTACTTAGACAAAATTTCCTTCGTTTTGGAGCAATTGATGCAATTGTTCTTCACCAAATACAAATGTGATTGGTTAAAGAAGAAATATTTTAGGCTTTAACCAATCGTATTTGTACTTTTTTACAAATTTTTCATACCACTTTGTAGCAAGTGATGCAATTGTTCTCTAAATCATAAATGATTGGTTAAAAAAAAGTTTAAACCAATCACTATTTATTAAAATAACAATTGCATTAGTTGCTACAAACCTTCCGCAAAAAAATAAACTGAAAAATAAACTGAAGAATAAACTGAAAAATAAACAACCAAAACTGTTTCAAATATGATAGGAGAATGTTTTTATTAACCAATCAATTTTGGAGAAAGTTTAGAGCAATTGCATCAGTTGCTCCAAGTTGTTCAAAATTTACAAAATTCTGATATGCCGCTTCATATACGTACTTCGCTCGTTTTTGTCGTGGATTTCGCTAGTAAATTAAAGTTTTGAAACAAAGATGAATTTTTTAGTTTCAAATGTAATTAAGGCTAGGTATTTTCAAAATATATGCATATATAAAAATTAGTTAACTAAAGAGTTGACAACTTTAAATAACAAGTGTCCAATGCAGCCATATAGTCAGTCTTGAAAATTCTGAAATTGGTTGTTTATCCGGAAGCCAGACGATAGTAAAGATTATGGTGCTTTAAGGTAAAACTCTTTTACTGAAATTAATGGTGTTATATATTTCCAGCTAGAAAATAAAGTAAACTGATCTTGTTTTTTATACTTTTTTTATTTATTTTTACTTATACTTTACACTTTGTTAGTCCTAAAAATAAAACAAATAAAAAATAATTCTCTGATGTTTCTTCTACATCAAAAGGTAATTCTGCAAAACATGTCAAAATCTAATCTAAAATTAACTTTAAAAAAGACAATGTTTTTTTAGAGTTGTTTTTTGAACTTTCTATAGACTTTAAAATATTTGAGTGATTATATTCCAACTCAGTTAACATTCCTTTATACAAAGACTTACATATTTATATGATGTTTCAACATATCTAATCCATGGTAAACTTTTAACCGCTGGCAAAGACGATGCAATTTTGATAGATATGGTAAACAAAGTATTTCGTCCAAATTCTATATTTGTTTATCCTTTTATTTAATAGACATTTAATAGACTATTAATACAAAATAAAAAAATTATTTAAATTTGAATGACTCAGCCACTATTTTTGGATAGCTTATTCTAAAAATAGCAAAGAAGATTGAGTTTACTGTTTTCCTTTTACTTTGCTATGTGCTAGTATTCCAAATAAGTCTGGAATACTGAATTTAGTTTTCAAGCCTTATTATGAATGGGGTAATGCTGTTCTTGATTTTGAAAAACATAAAAAAAAAGTTGTGTTTAACAATGCATTACGTTCATTTTGCAACCCCAAAAGTAATGTTATTGAGATTGATTTAAACAATTCTTATTTAAAACTTTTTTCTGATAACTGAAAAAATTTTGTTCTTATAAATAAAACAATAATATTTCTTATTTGGAAAAGGTAACTTCATACAGCTTTTAAAAACTTGTGTTGATGCTGGTGATCAAATATTAGCTAGTCATCTTTTTTTAAGTCCAAAAAATGCAACCTTTATATCAAAACTACCCAAAACCAACTTATTGATTCATGTTGGAAAACAGATGAGGTAGCTTTAATAAAATATGTTTAGCATTCCAATTTTTTTTTAATTCTTTGTGATAAAGCAGTTGAATGTTCAAATACTGAACAAATGTCACTTTTTTAAAGATATGTAAATTCAAATAATTTTGAGTAATTTTGAATAATTTTGATAATTGAAATTTGCAAGGATTTTCTAACATTTATTGATTACAGGACTGGTATATCTAGTCTAAGTCTATCTCTAAATTTACTTTCTATTAAATTTACAAAAATTACTTACTAAAATTACTTAATACACTTCAAGAGACTTTTTGGACTTGATATACAAAATTGTAGAGGCCTAGGGTATGATGGCACAGGATTTATAGGAGGTAAATATAAATGAGTTTCTTCTTGAATAAAAGCTCTTAATCATAATGCTTTTTTTTGTTAATTATACAAGTCATAGACTTTGTTTAGTTGTAGCTATTGCTTTTAGTTTGGCTTTTGGTTTTAGTCTTGATATTTAAGAAGTGAGACCTAGATTGTGTACTTTTCAGGTTTACCAGTATAATTATCTAACAAATGCAGTTTGTGACTATTTAAAACATAATATTACTTCTCTATTAATTGAACATCTTATTAATGAGCTAAATGATAGGTTTCCAGAAAATGTTACGTTTGATTATAAAGGTCTAGCAGCAGTTCCTTCAACTGTTCTGTCCAGAATACAAGTTAAGAAACCATGGAAATCTGATTTTTATGAATTTTATGAATTTCTAATTATATGAATATGCCTCATTTTTTTTCAATACATACTGAGTTAGATTTATGAGAATTATTTTTGAAAAATATTCCTTTAACTGTTGCTAGTATTTTAAAAGCCATTGACATGAGAAGTTTTCCAAATATAACAAAAGCATTTATTTATGTATTAGGAATAGTTCCAATAACAACTTGTGAATGTGATAGAAGTATTTCAGTTATATATATAACTAAATACAGTTATATATATATATATATATATATATATATATATATATATATATATATATATATATATATATAAAGAGAGAGAGAGAGAGAGAGAGAGAGAGAGAGAGAGGGGAGAGGTGAAAGAGAGAGAGAGAGAGACTGTTAGTCTATATTTATTTTATACAAATTATACTTCAAAAAAAATAAATAACAAAAGTTAATAAAAAATTCCTATCAAAAAAAGAAAAAAATTCGAAAATGGAGGGTTAACCTTAAATAAGATTATTTGTACTTTACATAAACTGCTATCAAGAAAAGGGAAAAGGTTAGAATCTAGAAATGGAGGACTAAACTTTATAGTTATAATAATATTTAACTTAGTATTACTCTACATTAATAAACAACCTAATATTACTTTAGATAACGTGCTTATCAAGAAAAGGTAAGAATCCAGATATGGAGGACTAACCTTAGGAAACATTACTTCACATTACGTGCTTTTCAATGGAAAGCTAACCTTTGGGAAAATGATAGTACACAGATAAAGTGCAAAGTTCTTTGGCTTACCTTTTGGATGGTGCACTTTGTTAAGTAAATTAGACTTAAAATTACATGTCTAATTTATGAACAAAATAGTCACGGCAACATTTGTGAAAATTTCTATAAAAAATAGATACTTCAATAGCATTACAAAACAAATTAAGTTATTTAATGACATAAAGAGCGAGGTCACTCCTAAAAAAAGCTGTCCAGGGCATGTCCGGCCCATCCTTGCTACGCTTTTTTTCTGTCCCTCCACTTTTGAAATTGACTATACTTAAACCCTAGGGATGTTGGGGGAGGGGTAATCTATTAAAAATTTTTGCGTCACCCTTTTAAAATGCTAGATCCGCCCCTGAGTACTATATTTAGCATCATAGAAAAAGATCATTATAGTTTATTAGAACCTTGTAGTTCGTATAGGGTTAACAAACAACAAGGGATGAACCGACAATTTAGAAAATAAAAATTGTAAAGGTTCAATTGCTAAAAAATACTGGCAGAAAAAATGATATAACACCGACAAAATAAGCTTTCTTTAAAATAAATGGCATAAACACCTTCGTCAGGCAAATTAGTTTTTATTTTATTTCGCACCTCTATGACTGCCACTAATAACAATATTTAAAAAAAGTAACTGGATAAAATAACTTAGAAAGAAAATGTAATCCAGCAAGCACATAACGTTATTTTAACGTTATTTCAACGTTAAGAAGTGGTTGATATATGGTTGAAAAAAAAACGATCTAAATTTCAACGTTATTTCAACATTAGTTCAACGTTAAAAAAAAACGATTTTCAACTAAATGCAAACGTTGAATTAACGTTGAAAAATAAACGTTGAAATAACGTTGAAAATACGTTGAAACTTAAATACGAGAGTTTGCCGACGCAAATGTACAAAGAATTCAGAATTAAAATAAAATTGAATATTTCACATAGATTATTGCGTGGAAAAGTTTTTTAAAACCATTTAATAAAAGTATTAATCTATTAACAGTAACAACATTAAAAGATTTTTTTGCTATGAAAATATGTAAAATTAAAAAAAAAAATTATATGAATTTGTAGTATACAAAAATTTAGCATATTTTATATAAAAATGCAAAACTTGTGTATACTGCAAATTCATATAAAATTTTATATGAATTTGGATTAAATTTTTATATGAAAATATGTAAAATTAAAAAAAAAAATTATATGAATTTGTAGTATACAAAAATTTAGCATATTTTATATAAAAATGCAAAACTTGTGTATACTGCAAATTCATATAAAATTTTATATGAATTTGGATTAAATTTTTATATGAAGGTGGATTGAAGTCTTTATAATTATACTAACACTTTGGATTGAAGTCTTTATAATTATACTAACACTTTGATTGTATACTTTACATATATATATATGTATATATAAACATCTTTAAATGATTTTTTTGCTATGAAAATATGTATAATTTTACAAAAACTTATATGAATTTGTAGTATACACAAACTTTGCATATTTTATATAAAAATGCATATTTGCATATTTTATATAAAAATGCAAAACTTATGTATACTGCAAATTCATATAAAATTTTATATGAATTTGGATTTTATTTTTTATATGAAGATGGATTAAAGTCTTTATAATTATACTAACACGTTGATTGTATACTTTACATATATATATATATATATATATATATATATATATATATATATATATATATATATATATATATATATATATATATATATATATATATATATATATATAAACATCTTTGAATGATTTAAATATTAATCTTTAATATATATATATATATATATATATATATATATATATATATATATATATATATATATATATATATATAATATATATATATATATATATATTAGGTACGTGGAAATTCGCGTTTTACGGAACCGATTTTTGTGCTAAAAAACTGTGCCACGCTTTTTAGAATTTTTTTTAGCTAGCGTAGGGAAGACGTGTTTAGTTGGAAAACTTTTTAGAATTTGATATCAATATAGATTATTTTTAGAAACTAGAATAGTTAAACTTTGTTACTGTTAGGTTTATTATTTTACTAGATAGCTTTTTTATAGAGTTTTTTGATGTCTAAAACTTTGTTGTACTTTAGGCATGAAATTAATGTCGAAGATATGCTCATTCATTTTTCTATACTATTCTTTCATTTAAGTTTTTCATTTATCTATGCACCTGGAAAATTTCATTGAAAAAAAAGTTGTAGCAGGGTGTCTATTTTTTGTCGCACTTTTGGTACCTAATTCTCATTTTGCTGAAATGGGCACGGGAGACAGAGGGGCTAATCAAACATTTTTTAGATTGAATAACATTTTCAGTTTTTTTTTAGATTAAATAAAATGGAAGGTCAAAATAATGATAAAGAATTTCAATATTGTTTCCTATTTATTAAAATTTAAAAAAAAAAAATTAAAATTTAATACTTTAAACTTTAAAGTATTAAATTACTTAGTAAGGAAACATTAGTTTACTTACCTTACTTAGTAAGGAAACATTAAAATTTAATTAAATAAAATGAATTTTAATGTTACTTTAAAGTTTAAAGACATAAATATTATAACATATTTTATCTTACATTGTATTACAATGTAAGAGTGTTGTAATCTTCTTTTTTTTTTATAATTGACTGTTAATCTTTCAACTGTAATAAATAATATAAATTGTTTATATTATTTATTACAGTTAAATTTTATTTATTTTATTTATATTATTTATTACAGTTGAATCGTACTTTATTTATTAAATAAAATACGTTCATATATAACTTGTATGTTGTGAAATTATTCAACTTTTATGTATAATACATGTAACATAATAATGAAAAACATTTGTTATATTGTTTTAGCAACTCAAAGCAGTCCAATGGTGGCAGCCAACAATATTAGTTAGTTATTTTACACATTCCATACCCATTAGTTTCTTTTAACTTAAGATCAGTAGATATAGTCTAGACAAATGTTTGTATTATTTTGTTAAAAAAAGTTTTTCAATTGTTTTTTAAAAGATGCTTTTGAGTGGATAAGTCAGTTTTTTTGTTATGCTTTATTATTTTAGTATTTAGTTATCTGCTTTCAGTATTCATTTAAAGATCTTTATTACAATTATCCACAAAATGTTTTTACAGTTGTTTATTTATGTATTCCTAATTGTTGCTTTCTTTTTATTGAGTCATTGTTGCTTTTTTCTATAGACAATTTAGAACAAGTAAAGTTTAAACTATTTTAGTTATTTAGTCATTTAAACTTATTTTTTGCAATGTTAGTGTTATAGTTCAATTTTATAATAAAGTTCGTAATTTAAAATTGGCTTTTAGGTGAATTCAGACAGGCGATTTGTAAGTTTGGTAAATTTTAACAATTTCAATGGTATAGTTTAATGATACACGCTAACTAAAGATTATTACTTTATTAATAAAAACTAAAGGTGTTACATATCTAATTTGAAGTTTGAACGTTATTTTTATAATAAAGAATCTTGTCTTTTAAATAACTTATTCAAAAAGATATTCCTTGATAAATAAAGTTTATTTATTAGGGAATATCTTAATGAATAAGTTGTTTTAATATAAATTTATTAAACTGTTTCAAATTATTATTTGGCCACTATCTAATCTTTATTTATAACTTAAATATTTCTTTTGCTGTTTTAGATGCTCAAAGTTATAGTGAAGTTGTAGCCGACAACATCAGTTAGTTACTTTCTGTATTTAATAGCTTAGTAGTTATTATATAGTATATATATATATATAATGTATATATATATATATATATATATATATATATATATATATATATATATATATATATATATACATAATATATATATTTACATATACATATATATATATATATATATATAACAAAATTTACAAATATATATATATATATATATATATATATATACACATAATATATATATAAATATATATATATATATATATATATATATATATTATATATATATATATATATATATATATATATATATATATTTGTAAAAATAAAGTTCATTTAATTTTTGTTTAGATGAAGTTGCTTTAGAGAGGATCAGTCAGTTAAACCCCTATTATATGATTTAATAATTTAGTATTTAGTCATTTACTACTAGCTTCTCTTACTGTGATGGAGACATTTAAAGAGGAAACAGCTAGTGCATAGCTTCACAATATAGATAGTGAGGAATTAATGGGTATGTTTAGTGATGCAAAAGTATGGTTTCCTAATGCAACAATTTGCTATATCACTTGCAAACTAAGATCAAAAAAGAATAGGACTGTTGACTATCTAGACACTCCAGATTTAAGTTTAAGAGGAAAGATTGTTAAATGGTCAATTAATGTAGCACGTAAAAACAAATTTACATATTGACTGAATTGATGCAAAGTAAGAGATGAGATTTGCCAAAGACAAAAAATCAAGTGGCAAAGTTAATAAAAGAAAAAATGACTTCATTTACACCATTTCTTACTGGAAAGATGATGAAACTGATATTGAAGCTGCTGACTATTGCATGAAAAAGACCCAGCATGCTGCTGATGTTGTTTCTGGTGAGTTACAATTTAATGAATTTAAAAACACAAGTGTTGTGACTTGCCTAAATTATATAGCAAGTGTTGTGATTTGCATAAATAATACAGCTTGTGTTGTGATTTGCCTAAAATATATAGCAAGTGTTGTGACTTGCATAAATAATACAACAAGTGCTGTGACTTGCCAAAAATGTATTTCAAGTGTTGTGACTTGCATAAATAATACAGCTAGTGTTGTGACTTGCCTAAATTATATAGCAAGTGTTGTAATTTGTTACATTTTTTGATAGACGACTCTGGCTTACCTTCGTGTGCTGGCTATTGTTAAAAATAATTAAAATATAGTTTTATTACTGGAATTAATCATATTAATCATTCACTAAAAACCAAGACAAAAATATATTAAATTATTTTTAAAATAATTAAAGTTTTTTTTTTTAATGTTAACATTTTATTTATTATTTATTTTGAAACAGAAATTTGTTTGTTAACCAAACAGAATGGCTAGCTCGTTAACCATACTGTATGGTCCTTACTTCTTTTAATGTAATAATCACATGAAAGACTTTAATATAGGTAGTTGCTATACTTGGCTATAAAGATGACATTGTTTTTACAGCCAATTGACTTATAATTATAGCCCCACAATAGTAGTTGTATAATTTTTTAAGTAATATATATCCAATTGGTTTGGTTAGAGGCATTCTAATGCCCCTTTCCTTATGATATATTTGGATAGGCCCTTCCTTTTACTCCACTCTCTTATGACCATGGATGCACCACTAATGTATATTTTAATCTAGGGGAAAATGTTTTTTACTTCTTTGTTGTTGTACTTTAAATATTTATTCAGATATTTCAAGAATTAAAAATGTTTTTGATATTATAGTACTAAAACATCATCTACATATCTATTATGAGTTTTACATTCATCTCTCGTATTTGGTGGTTGTCTGGTATGAATTTATTTTTTAAATTGTTTCCAGTTTCATAATTTTTTTTTTAATTTATTATTCAAATTTTGAAAACAGTAATTGCATGTTTGTTCTTTTTTTTTTTAGGTTAGGGGGGGGGGGTCATACGCCCCTCCCATAATAGAAACACCACTTGTTTACGTAAGATCTTGTATAACATAATTTTATATTGTATTCTAGTTTTACTCATTTTAGTAAAGATAAATATTTATAAAA